AACCGATACGAATCCCGAAGTAAACACAATTGATCCGCAATGTTCTATGGTACTGAATCAGCGAAATCATTACAAATGTATAATAAAGCAAACGTCAAATATGCAGCCGAGAGCACTCAAGCACGCTAGCCAAATATGATGTCCAGAGAGAGGTAAACAGTCACTCACGTTCTCAAACCACGCGAAATTCAAATGTGCCTGGCATCGAACTAACAGATAAATAATAATGTATGGTGTTTGTGATTGAGAGATGTCAATTGAGAAGCAACATACTGATAGAGATATGTCACCATAAATCATCATGGGTTTGGAAGGAGTTTTCAAAAATTCAACATAAAGTACAGGCCAGCCAGGTCGGCATGCACGTGTTGGAAGCGTGCTGTCCGAGAGTCGAAAACACCTAGTGGGGTCCTAGTGTGACGATGTTCTTTATTTTGCTGACACAATAAAAACTTGCGGGCCCGATGAATTACGTCGCGATTCATTTTGGGCCAGACGAAGCGTTGGTGGATTAACTTTATTGATGCGCAAATCCCGGGGTGCAACAAGTTGTGCAAGGTATTGAAGACCTGCTTTCGATAGGGTTGTGGCACTAGCCGGATGAGGAGTGCCTGTAGAACAGTCGCACCAGATGTTACCGTCTGAAGTGGTGAGGGGGACGAGCTGCAGCTTGAGCGATCTGTTACTCTTAAGAGTCTTCAGCTCGAAGTCTGACGTCTGTGCCTCGGTGATCTGCAACAGGTCGACATAATCGGGAGGGACGATGAGATGGATGTATTTCATGCTGAATTTTTGAAAATCCTTTCAAGCCCATAATGATTTATGGTGAAACAACATCTTATTGGGCTAGCTTGGTTAAGTGCTCTCGGCCGCATATTTGAGGTTTGCTTTATTGTACATTTGTAATGATTTCGCTCGTCCTCGATGAATCTGTTTTGATGCTTCACAGCCAAATAAGAATCACTACACATACTTTATATAAGATTTGGGAATCCTGTTTGAGCATTTCCGCTCAAATGGTGTCGGTAT